TCTTATGAATGAATATATTTGTATGATTTTTGGACAGGATATTCCAGATACATTGTAATGCAAATTGAAACAATGAAATTATTTTAACCTTCCATGCAAGCGTCAAAAAAAAATTATTTCTGCATTGTTTGATTTGTACGAATATACTTCAAGTTATTGTATTTTCAACTTGTGAACAAAATTCAAATTTGTTTATTCTGAATTTTTTCGGTTTTTCAGGTTTTTGTTAGACTGAGAAACTTAAAACTTTTTACCAAATTGATTTATGAAGAGAAGTAAGAAAGTTATAGTTGATTTAGAATTTTATACGTCATAATATTGTATAATGCTTATATAGCCATTTTGAGAAATTGAGTATAAAAGTAAAATGGTTCTCACTGGCTAATGAATGAATATATTTGTATGATTTTTGGACAGGATATTCCAGATACATTGTAATGCAAATTGAAACAATGAAATAATTTTAATCTTCCATGCAAACATCACAATAAAATTATTTCTGCAGTGTTTAATTTGTTCAAATATACTTCAAGCTATTTACATTGTATTTTCAACTTTAGTCAGGTAACAAATTTGATTATTCTAAATTTTTTCTGTTTTTCAGGTTTTTGTTAGACTGAGAAACTTAAAACTTTTTACCAAATTGATTTATGAAGATAAGTAAGAAAGTTATAGTTGATTTAGAATTTTACGCGTCATAATATTGTATATCGCGTAAGTAGCCATTTTGAGAAATTGAGTATAAAAGTAAAATGGTTCTCACTGGCTAATGAATGAATATATTTGTATGATTTTTGGACAGGATATTCCAGATACATTGTAATGCAAATTGAAACAATAAAATAATTTTAAGCTTCCATGCAAACGTCAAAAAAAAATTATTTCTGCAGTGTTTAATTTGTACGAATATACTTCAAGCTATTTACATTGTATTTTCTTTAAGTATTTTAAGACTATTGTTTGATTTAAATTAAGATTTTAATATTTCAAATTGTAATTTCTTTCAGGGTTTGGGAAATAGGAAGAGTATGTAAGATCTGTAATGTTATTTGGCAAGGAAAATTATGTAAAAAACAGTTAGAAACAAGGTGTCAACAAAGAGGACTCAGACAATTCTGTCCCTGTGTAAAATGATTCAGACAAACGTGATTAAATGGGACAGCCAAAGCACGGCCAGCTTTATTCCTTAGGAGATTTTGCACAAACACAACAAACATTACAATATTTATTCTTCAATCCAAAGACAGGCCGATATTTGAAAACTACAGAATACATTTATTCACAGAAAAAAAGAACACGTTTCTGTCCATAGACAATAAATTTTTCACTAAAGCGTTAAAGAGGATATTGTGTCTGTCCACAGATATGTCTCCATTTCTCATGTGGCTGGTTCTCTTGTCCTCGAATCCTCGTCAGCTGAAATGTTTCACTGCAAACAACTAAACCAAAGTTCCGCTACACTACAATTCTAACATTAAAATGGCAAATTTCAGCTATTCGCTACAATTTAGCTTATGACAACCGTCTGGTATTTTGAAATTCTGGTCCCTGGTGATGTGTTAGCCCTTCATTTACTCTCAAACGAAGTTATGAAGCTGGTATTTACGTTTTAAATCAGAAATTTGAAAAATTCGTGACAAAGTCAGCCATTTTGTTTACACCGGAAGTCACGTGTTAGAATACTGCAATAGAAACCTTTGTTTGACAACCAAGACTACCGTTGCATCTTTTTATTACCGACTAATTGGCGCTGTGAGTTGTCTCCCTTAGAACATGATCATCCAGACACTTACACGTATTAAATCTGCAGTTGTGATAATCAAGACTAGATGTAAACAAACAAAATGGCTGACTTCTTCACGAATTTTTCAAATTTCTGGTTTAAAACGCAAATGCCGGCGTTATGACTTCGTTTGAGAGTGAATGAAGGGCTTAACAATCACCAAGGACTAGAATTCCAAAAGATCAGACAGTTGTCATGAGCTGAATTGTAGCGAATAGCGGAAATTTGCCATTTTAATGTGGCTTTTGTGCATTATTTCTCAGCAGTCAGCCATTTTGTTTACACCGGAAGTCACGTGTTAAGAGTAGTGCAATTTACTTTGTTTGACAGGGTATTCCAGATACACTGTAATGCAAATTAAAACAATAATATAATTTTAAGCTTCCATGCAAACGTCCAAAAAAAATTATTTCTGCAGTGTTTAATTTGTACGAATATACTTCAAGCTATTGTATTTTCAACTTGACAAAATTCAAATTTGTTTATTCTGAATTTTTTCTGTTTTTCAGGTTTTTGTTAGACTGAGAAACCTAAAACTTTTTACCAAATTGATTTATGAAGAGAAGTAAGAAAGTTATAGTTGATTTAGAATTTTACGCGTCATAATATTGTATATTGCTTATATAGCCATTTTGAGAAATTGAGTATAAAAGTAAAATGGTTCTCACTGGCTAAAGAATGAATATATTTGTATGATTTTTGGACAAGATATTCCAGATACATTGTAATGCAAATTGAAACAATGAAATAATTTAAAGCTTCCATGCAGACGTCAAAAAAAAATTATTTCTGCAGTGTTTATTTGTACGAATATACTTCAAGCTATTTACATTGTATTTTCAACTTGTCAACAAAATTCAACTTTAGTCAGGTAACAAATTTGTTTATTCTGAATTTTTTCTGTTTTTCAGGTTTTTGTTAGACTGTGAAGCTTAAAACTTTTTACCAAATTGATTTATGAAGAGAAGTAAGAAAGTTATAGTTAATTTAGAACTTTACGCGTCATAATATTGTATATCACGTAAGTAGCCATTTTGAGAAATTGAGTATAAAAGTAAAATG